CTAATCTAAACTACAAAACAGCCTAATGCTAAAGTCAGCCGAGTGTAAGATAATAATTCCCACTTAAAATGAAGTTCAATCCAATCTAATATCTCATTAATTGCAGAGCAGTCCACTAGGTATTATTCAAAAGAAAGCTCAATTAAATAATACTAAGTGGAGGTGATAGAACTAAAAATCCTTTACAGTCTTCCCTGAAATTAATGAGAATTACTGATCAATCAGTTAATATCTAAATGAGGATTGGGTATATGAATTTCTGTATGTACAGCAAACTAGATATTGCTCAATCCATACTCTTAATTTACAGCAATCTTGTTTATACTATAATGCATTTTTAAAATAACGAATAGAAAGCAGGTTTATATTTTTCTAAATAAAGATAAATATTTACTCAATACAAAATTATATACATAAAAACCACTCAAGATATGGGAAAGAAGCTGTGTGAAAAAATAGTGAAACTGCTTTAGCCTTGAATAAGGATTTTATAGTTCAGTAGCTGAAATACATTTCTGAGTACTATATACCATTTTCATTTTCAAAATGGTCACACACCAGACAAAATATGACCATGTCTACCATAGGTTCCATTGTCAATATTGGCAGTAGTTATTACAACAGGGCCAATGTTGAGACTCATCCTAAGTTAAACACCTCTGTTTCACATTCAAAGGTAGAACTAGTGTACAATAGAACACCACAGCAGATCTAAGAATCTGTCTTACATCGAACAGTCTTACAACAAACAATGAAGACCATAACCTGTTTTTTCCTTAGATATTTTTCTAAGAGGTGATAACAACAAAGTTGTAAGGCTGTCTTTTAATGCTGCATCTGTAATACACATACACACACACACACGCAGAATGGGAGACATGGATATGTATGCCAAAAAATGAAGATGTATACACCTATAACAAATCATAAAACTGTTTTATTTATCAAGTGTGTGTAATGTGAAGCCATAATAGAAGTGTCTATACACAAATCATACATAAATGAAACAATTTCTAGGCATTTCTTTTTCCAAAGCTATTATTTAGTCAGAAAAGCCATTTTGGCTGCTCACTTCAGCAGTCACATGGCACTCACTGTTTCTTTTGGATAAAAGAAACACCTATGGGGGCTCAGAAACTAACTTGAAGCAGGAACGAATTTTTATAGTCCTTGTCTATTGGTGGGTTATGCCATTATGAAAGCTTAGAAGACAAACTGGTGAGACTTCTTTGGACTGTTCCTTCTACTGTATATCAGTCCATAGGCCGCAGGTTCTTGGTTGTTACATAACTATGTCAGCCATTGGCTGCAGCATTACAAAGAATATTATTCTGGAGTTAAGCTTTTCATATACTATAAGTGCTTATATTTCTGGGAAACGTTAACTTTTGGCATTACAAGCTCCCCAAAGCTTGTATCTCTGTACCCCAAATAATTATCAGAGGTACAGTCTCAGTTGGAAATCAAGATAGTTCTAAATTGAGATACGATGTTAGGAACTTGTTTTTGTTCGCAAATGAACCTACCAAATTCCAAGTAGTCATTGCTAATGCTTTAATATGGTTTCAGGAATTGTGTGCTATGTATGATAACAACTGTGAGATGGTTGATGTTATAGAATTGCATTTTTTTACATAAGGATTGAGTTTGCACATGGTACTAAGCTGTGTTTTTGTGAATAAATCCCAGTTGGTTAACTCTGATTTGTCAAGCCATGAATCATATTTTACAAAGCACAGTAATGAAGGTCTACACAACATGCTAACCCAAAAAAACTATATGTTGGCATAACTTGATGCTTAAATTGAGTAAATAATTGCTATGTAACTGAATCAGATTTTGTCTAAATTTTACAGTAGGAGAAACCTTGAGACTTCATTGAATTCTACAACAGGAACTATAGCCTAGTCTGCTCTACATGGGGTCTATGACAACTCATCATGGCCAACTCACCACAGCCAACTTGCTATGGGGCAATTTGGCATGGCCAACCAACTCGCCATGGGACAAAAGTTACACTAATATAGAATAGTAGAATAGAATAATTAAAGAAAGAATGCCAAAGGAGAGACAAAATGAAATGTAAATCACGAAAATTAAAATATTTTTAACTATTTTAAATAATTATTTTGAATTGTTGAATTGTCCAATAGTGAATTGTCCTGTGGCAAACTAGTGGCAAATAGTGAATTGTCCTGTGGACATAGCAAATCATGCTGTGGTGAGTTGGCTATGGCAAATTGGCTATAGTGAGTTGACCATGGTGGGTTGGCTGTGGTGAGTTGTCCCATTCTGTCTGTAGATGGAGAACACTGGCCTTTCTCACAGTCAAAACTTGGCTGTCTAGCCTTGTGGGGGTAGATGTAGAAGTTCAAACAACCATGGGGCTGGCTGGTCCCATGAGAACTTTCCGCTCCCCCCAGCCCCCCCGTGTCAACAGCTGCTAATCACTATCTTGGAATTCTTCACCTTCTGATAATTTGGTTTTATAATTTAAAAACTTTTAATCCCAACTTATTCTGATTTTAATGTTTAATTTTATTGATTATATTGTACACAACCCTGGTTAAGAATTATGAAAAATAAACAAATAAATATGATATCCAAAAAAAAAACCCCATGTGGGGTCCATCTCAGAGGTACATGTGCATAAAAACCTTAAGCCAGTTTTCTGGGACTCACCTCAACAAACATCTGGAATTAGCAGGAGCAATGGCGGTATAGGATGCTGGTTCTATACTCAGGGCTGAATCAGGCGTTCCATGTATTGCCAAACAGGCCCAAAAGCTACCCATGTATCAAAAATTAGGAAAAGACTTTTAAGGGGGAAATCATATCATACACTTGGAATTTCTTATAATGTTAAAAGTTGTCTTACAAATGTTAGATCCTCCTGCCAGGAAGGAACAACAAACCCACGACATGAGATTCTGTGATACTGGGATGCCATACATGTGACATGCTAAATATCATCAAAACTCTAGTTTCTTGTTTGTCTATGAATTGGGTTTAGGATGGTCTGAAAAATAGCAGAGATGACATGTTTTGAAGATGGCAGTTTTGCTTGCTAGAATATCAGAGTATCCCTGTTGAGAAAAACAGCATGCTTTTCCCATTAAAATCAGAAAATTTATCAGACTTTTCAAATGTATACGTTTTGTATACTTCTTGTTGTGTTTGTCAGTATGACTTAATGATCCACATAGGGCAAAGCTGTTAGACTCCTGGACAGATGCCGTGTCCATGCCATACTCATTTGTTTACAGCTGAAAAAATATTAGTTTATGGACAGGAATTCTGTATAAATTATTAATATTTTATATGTTCACAATATTTTTGAATATTGTGTTAAATGGGAAATAATAATAATTTTAAAAAATGCAACTGCAATGTTTATTCTCCCTCGGGAATATTATTTTTTGGAATATGATGGGTTTTTTTCAGAATGAAGAAAAAAAGGAAAAAGGGCATATTCATTTGCTATTACCTATTGGCAAATTACTTCTTTGTCTGGTACAGTTTAGGAGTTTTTCTCTGTGAATAGCACGTTTGAGTGTAGCCTTTTGTACCAACACTGCATATATCTCCTGATCCCGCCCACTTTTTAATATGTTCTGCCCCACAAAGTTGTCTGCTCCTGTATATATCATCTATTTGGTTTTTGAAAACTGTATTTCCACCAAATAAAACATTTAAGTTGTGTCACTGAAGGTATTCGAGTCCATCTGGTCATCCCTACTCTACCCCTTACAGCAGAGGTTTCCAAACTTGGCAACTTTAAGACTTGTGGACTTCAATTCCCAGACTTCTCCAGCCAGAATTGGGAGTTGAAGTCCACAAGTCTTAAAGTTGCCAAGTTTGGGGACCCCTGGATTACAGGGTCGTAAAAAGGGAGTTTACTGAAAGAATTTAAGTAGGTGCAAAAAAAAATGTGATTACAGAAATTATTCATTCATACAATAAATGTAGAGAGCAATATTAGCAATGTATTCTCAGTTGCATTTGGTCTCTCTACCTAACGCTGACAACCTGTTTGCAAGTGATTATGATTCTTTCATAATATATTCAGGTGGAATCCTTATGAAATTTATTAGTACAATTTGGTCAAGTTGTGACCCATCTGTCTTTGCTGCGATGCTAATTGGTGTTAGTTCATGTTACATGTATCTTAAAGTTGCTCTTATTTCAACAACTATTGCTAATAATCTGGACTTCTGTATTCCAGATTTACATAATCTATAATCATGCAACATAACTGCTTACCCTTATTCCTTGGGTAATAAATTTAAAGTCATATCATAGCTGCCTTTCATCTTCATTACCTCAGCCTACTCATAAGTGATATTTAAAAAATTCATCTATTCAGAGGAAAGACTCAGATAATCAATCTATGAAAGATCTCTCTCCTCCCCCTCTCTCAGAGAGAGAGAGAGAGAGAGAGAGAGAGAGAGAGAGAGAGAGAGAGAGAGAGAGA